AAAAAAGGGGAAGAAGCTCCACTTCTGAAATCTTCATATGTCATGGCTGTTAGTGATGAGTGAAACTTAGTCCCAGCTCTCAGAAGTCCCAGGACACTGTAACTCTTAGAAATTACAAGTTGAACCTTTTTTTAAACCTTAAACTCATAGGGAAGAAAAGTGGGATGGTCATTGTAGGAAATTAGGCTTCCAAACCACTCTCTGCTGTAAGGTTGGAAATCTACATTTGCTGTAGTTACTGGTAGAGCAGGAGTAAGATTTTTTTGTCAGACTTTTTTCTCAAGAATGAAAACTGAGTAAGTTAAGTTTTAATTTTCTCTGTTTGAGTGCTGAGATAAATTAATTGCAAATCCACAGGCTGAAAAGAAGCAAAACAAGCTGTATCCTTGTCAATGATTAAATGAGGTTTGATGTATCAAGGTAGTTTTGCTGTGTTCTTTGTCTCACACTAGTTTGAATGCATCAATGCAAGTGAAGATAAAGTTATATCTAAAAGTGTTTGCCTTTTTTAGCATGCAATTCTGATCAAGGCAAAAATTCCATGTCATTCCAAATGGGGAGTTTTCCTAAGCAGAATTTAAAAACTGTATTCAGGTAGTGTTTTCTTTGTATACAGATGAGTGACTAAGTAGAAGTAGATAATTTTTCTCCAATATATTTTATCTGTATTTTTCAAAAACTACAAGCTCTACAAGAACAGGTTTATTAAACTGAATGTAAAAGTTAATGCTTTTCTTTCCAAGTGATATTGTCACATGAGCATTTGCTTACTGCTTTATGAGAATCAAATACCATTTGTTCAGACCAAGGAGGGCAATTAATTGATTGACTGAACTAGAATGGAAAGTGAAATTGAAACCATTCACACAAGGGTTTTGTTTTGGGGTTTTTTTTGTACAGTACTGAAAAGCCACAATGTAAAATAATAGAAAAAGCTTATATTTCTTATTCTCCCCAAACAGTTCTTCTGATGTGAGGGCTTTGACTGACTCAGAAATGAAAAGCATCTTTCATATCATCATGTCTTAGGGAATCTTTGCCTTCTTGAAGGCACATGGAATGGGATCTAAACACACTTGTTTGATCCAATAAAATGCGTGGATAGAATGTTAAAAATCCTTCCACTCAGCTACTGGAAATGTCACACCAGGTATAAAACAAATTTTCGGTACATTTTAAGTACTAGGTAGCTTTAACCTATTGCTTTGCAGAACTTTGTATTCTTACTTGCAGCAAAACCACTGTATTGCACAGCAACTCACAGAATTTGAAAGGCAACAGGCCACTTGCAGTCATCACCATTTACTGTGGATACCCAAGTATTTCCTCATATTTTTGTATTCTCTTAGTTTTAAGGAAATTTTCTTGATGTAAATGTGATTTTAGGGGTTAGAGTTGCAATATCATTTGTTTGTTCTGCTTTCCTTCTCCCCTAGTCAACTACTTCCGTTTCTCCCTGTATCCCTTACACTGACATGAATCACTGTGACTGCTCTTATGATGCATTCTTATGTATACGTGGCTTTGCAGAGCAACTTGGATAGCAATAACCCTCTACTTGGGGCAGTGTTTCACTCTTCTCTTTTGCAGGTGTCAGATATTCATATCAGCAAATTTCAAGATCCCAAACGAGCTCCTGAATTCGAAAAATTCTGTTCTGAAACAATTGATGTAATTCAGCCAGCACTTGTTCTAGCAACAGGTAAGCAATTGAAAAGTGTGAATTTCCTGTTGAGTGTACTGTCAAAGCAAATAGCCAAACTTCTAGGATCTCAAGAGAGAACTTTAAAAATTCAGGTATCTTAAGCAATGGAAATTGAATTGCAGCTAAAGGAAGACTACTAGAAGCTGAAAAGAATAACCTCTCAACAAAGGAATTATTATTTTCTTCAGCATTCAGTTTCTTCAGTGAGTTTAGTGTGTTCTATATGTAACAGACACAATCACACAAGGTAGCTATTGTTTTCCCAATATGTGTTGCTGCATCTTGGCCCCTGCTAGCAGCCACCTTCCTTCTTGTCCCGGTCATGATTCTACATTCTTTGTGTTTGAAATTACAGAAGTGAGCAATGTCTGTGGTTAGCCACTAGGATACAGTTCCTCTCTCAGAACAATCCATGCTAATTTGTATGAAATTCATACAAAATACATTAACTTGTGAATTAATGTAAGATTTTATTGTTGGTTTCCATTTGAACATATCATACCAAGAGAGGTGAAATAAACCTTGCCACTTCACTTGACAGCTTGCTATTGAAATAGATTAAGTTTTGACAAGGAAATCTAAAAGACCAAGCCATTACTGTGTGCAAGGCTTTGGAATCCTAATGCTAGACCTGGAGTTTTGTTTCTACAGAGAGTTACTTATCTAATTAGTGAAAGTGCTGCAGTGATGTGGTCAGTAGATGTCTGGTGAGGCTGCTGCATCTGCATTAGAAGGAGTTTACCTTGACATTGTGGACCATATACAGCACCCAGGCCTGCAGCTACTTAAACTTGGAGGCAGAGATGGCATGCTTGCCTAGTTACAGTATTTATATAAGCTTTGTAGGCCTCTAGTTATATCTCACCTTTGTACACTCCCAGGTGATCTGACAGATGCTAAGACAAGAGATAAACTGGGATCTGAGCAGGTAGAAGATGAGTGGAAAACTTACCAGTCAATCCTGAAGAGATCAAGGGTCATGGAAAAAACCAAGTGGATAGACATCAAAGGGAATCATGGTAAGAAGAAAATGAAACATTTCTGTCTTTCCTGTGATTGCAGGTCACAGAATATAGAGGTAAAATGTTCATACTCATTAGTGCAATTCATTAATCAGAAGGGCTTGCCATCCACATGTCTACTGAGGACATACTTTGCTTACAAGCTCTTACTGGAGTGAGTTTTAGTACCAGAGAAGTAAGAGTCTTTTACCTGGCAAGTGGTAGAACATGACTTCAGATGTTAGTTTCCATGTCATTATTTTATATACCACACTATTTAATGGAGGGGCAAACTGTAATCTTACCATACTGAAGAAAAGGTTTCAATTTACTTTTCATAGACTTCCGCCTCACAGGTTTACATTTAAAAGATGTCACATGTCCAGCAGCTAAAGGAAATTTGGTTTCTTTTGAATAGAAAGGAGTCATGGGAGTTTAGATCCTTCAGCTGTTGCCACACTGTGAGCATTCAAACACAAGCTGACAATCATGTAGGCTGTATAAGCAGGCTGTACAGGAAGCTGCACTGGGGGGAAGAAAGTGCATGCTTTGTCATATATACTCATTTTCCTATTAGGCTTCTGTTACCAGCATTAATGGAGAAGTAGAACTGTTGCAGTGCAGGCTTCCCCAAGCTGGTGTCTGTTCTACACACACTATTCTCTAATGCTATGGCTACTTTATTTTCCATGAATAAGTTAAGTCTTTCTTACAGAGCATGCAACCAGTCAAAAAAAAACTTTTGAAAAGCTCTGTGGTCAAAATGGAGACAGGTTTATTTGATCTGAAAGTTTCCTTATTTCCTTTTTTACTCCTTTACAGATTCATTCAACATTCCACGCCTGGATAGTGTTCAGAATTATTACAGGTACTTTTATTTACTTTTATTTTTATTTATTTTATATTTACTTTTTTTATTTTTATTTATTTTATATTTACTTTTATTTTTATTTATTTTATACTTTTATTTTATATACATGCAGCTATATTCAAGGTCAAATTAACTAAACGATATTCTGTTTTCACTTACTACATATATGCTTTTTCACTGAGTTTCCTATAACCCAGGATCATACCTACTATTCCCTCTGTCTTTTGCATTGTCAGTTAGTAGAGCAGAATTGACTGAGAAAATAGAGACTTGTTTGTGCAGATTTCTTATCTCTTATCCTTCTGTGTTTTGTAATTGAGTGTGTTAAATCTGTCAATGTCTACAAAATTTTAACTCTAGGAGAGAGAAGATGGAGGAGTGAAATGGAGTTGTTTTTTCAATATATAAAAATATAAATAATATTGTAAAATATTAAAATTATAAAAATTGCTTGCAGAAATAAAAATAGAAGCTAGGAAGAACAGTTATTCAACACCACATTCTGGTTTTCATTATGCATTAAAATTAAAGAGGGCAGGGGGTTATATTGAAATACAATATTTTTACAGAAAAACATAGGTTCCTACTGCATGTTCACAGCATTAGCATAGGATTAATCAACTGTTACACATACTCAAAGTGGGACTAAAGGAAGAAATTGTATTGAAGTTGATGATGTTCACAGAGATAATGTTAACTTAAATATTGTGAAAGGGTTTTTATGGCATCAGAAGTATGGAAAACGTGTTTTCAATATATTGTCTTATATTCTATTCAGGTCAACCTTCCTGGCAATTTTATTGTTCTGATTGGTGGAGAAACAGGGACATGAACTGATTTTTGGATGGCTCTGTTCAAATTATACTCATCTGAACTCAGGAATGTTTTGGCTCCCACAAATCATGCAGGGAATAAAACAAAATTAAAACAACTAAAAAAACCCAAATGCACACAAAATGCCCACCCCCAAAACCCCCAAAGAATTTTTTTAAAAAAACCAACCTAAACTTAATGAATTTTAGTGATTCTCAGATTAACTCAAAATCATTTTAGTTACAGAATTTAATCCTTAATACAGCAATTTAGGTGGTACTGTTAGTTGAAATGTCATGTCTTTACCAGTGGAAGATATGTACAATTCCCATCTAGCATGAAGTATCAAAAGCATTTCAATTTTGTAGCTCAGAAATAATAAAATACCTGTCATCAGTGGAAGGAGAGAAAGCAATGTATGTTTGTCATGGCTACAGGCTTTCCTAACAGGAGTATTTCCATCTTATTTTGTTAGGAAATACTCTGCCTGGCGTAGAGATGGTTCTTTCCATTACATCCACACAACCTCTTTTGGGAACTATTCATTCATCTGCGTGGATGCCACACTCAGCCCAGGCCCTAAGAGACCCTATAATTTTTTTGGGATTTTAAACATGGTATTGTATAAGTCTTTGCACTCCATTTGGCTGGCTGTTTTATTTCTGTAGTGGTTTGTTTGGGGTTTTTTTAATATAGAAAAATTGTTTGAAAGATTTGTGTTCATCTATAAGTGTTTACATTTTTAAGTTACATAATGCATGGGAGACATTTATTTATTTAGCAAAATGGATTTGTCACCTACCTATTTCAGAATCAAATGGCAGAGCTGTCTTTGATGGCAGCAGAAAGTCTACACAGCAACCATACTATCTGGTTTGGCCACTACCCCACCTCAACAATCATCTCCCCATCCCCTGGAATACGAACACTAATGAGGTAAGATCTTCTTACCCTGTATGTTTTCAGCATGAAGTACATTTCTTGCCTGTCTTCACATGCTCATCTCTCAGTTTTCAGATTTTCTGCAGTGGTATTTCCTTCCCACCCAAATAATCATAATTCTTATTAGTTCTGCCACAGCCTATTTATGTGGACATCTCCATACAATGGGTGGGCTGATGCCAGTCTTGCACAGTCAACACCGTGGTGGCACTCTGGAACTTGAGCTGGGAGACTGGATGGATAATAGGAGGTAAGAAAAGCCCATATGAGCAAATTATTATATGAAACCTACCTTGCTGTACTGTGATTCCCTTTTATGCTGTGTGGTGAATTTGAAAGAAGCATGAGATCAGCCTGACTGGTTATTACTATTAGTGCTTTTGAAAAAAAGGCCTTGTGTGTATGTTTGGGATTTTTCCCCATATCAGCAGTGTACTAATAAAGTAAATATTTTTTTATTAATTCTTGATATTTAAAAACTCAAAAGGGGACGTCTAGATAGTATGTTTAGTATTCAAATGTAGATGAAAAAATTGTAGTAAAGTTCAGCATCACTACTTCAAAATACACATGCTCTGCAGTAGCTGTTGGAATTCTTGACACAGAAATAGTCCACCTGAGAAATGTTACCTTATTTGCATATCAAAAAGTGTCTGATGCTATGTGTAGTGTATAGTAGTATACTAGCTTTTATTCTGCAGTAATCCAAAGAAAGATACTGGTATGAATACAGGGGAAGAGGATGCTGGTGTCATTGTCCTGAGTTAGAGTACCTACACAGACACTGTGGAAATGTACATTATATTTGAGTTCTTTAATGTAATATTCATTTATCTGATTCATGTGCAAAATTCACACTTGGAACTTTGGATACTACTCCCATGATTTGTAATAAAATTAACCTCATCAGAGGTAAGCAACTGTATAGTTAATATAGCAGAGTTGAAAAATGTAAGATCAACTACAGAAGAGAATAAATGGAAAATAAAGCCAGGTTCTTTAGGAACTTGAGAAGCATAGAAATCAGCTGTTCACACAGTGGTTTGTATTAACAAAATTCTTTTCCTTTAATTATAGATACAGGATCCTCGTGTTTGATCATGACCTCCTCAGCTTCGCAGATCTTAACTTTGAAGAGTGGCCTGTAGTTCTCATCACCAATCCCAAATCCTTCCTTTACAGCAGTTCTACTCATGAACCACTAGTCAAAATTCTTTATTCCACTCATATCAGGTACCCTGTAATGTCATGATTTCACAATATTAAATTATATGTATATACTCAAACCCTTTTTTTTTTTTTTTTAAATGTGTGTCTGCTGTTCTCAGAATTCACTTTTCTCTGGAGGATTGTCCACCATAACTGTATGAAATTACTTCATTTGACTAAAATATGCTCTGGAATGCCATTCATATTACCAGAAATTAAAGGAATTGCATGTGCAATATTTTGAGCCTGTATTAGTATCACTGTTTCTCTGAATATAAGCACTACTGCCAAGTGACAATACATTTCTTGGTATCTGAGATCTGTAATATCAATATTGCATTCTACTCCATTTGTCTTAAATGCAGTTGCAAACTCTGAGAGGTTATATACTGACTAGCAAAAAAAACCAAAAAAACAAAAACAAGGAAAAAGCCCCACTCCCAACAACAAAGGACTTTAGAGAGAGAGAGCCTGGCAATCTTTTACTAAGCCATCTACAAGTATTTAGTTATGTGTCTATGTGTGCTAGAGGATACATCCCACCTGTGTTAGCAAATGTTTTGGAGCAGGAGTTCTAAAATTATTTCTGCCAGGGCCTTACAACATCTGCCACCTTTTTGTCTGTTCCACAGCCAGTTTTCTATCCTGTTCTTTTTTGTAGTGTCATACAGAACTACTTTTTTTTAACAGTAGGAAAGACCTACTATGTTACCATTAGCCTACAGATACTTCACTGTTTTAATTTCTAAAACTTTTGAACTCTTTAATACAAGGCAGCTTAACTTTTAGGGACTTTTTGTTAAGGAAGTAATGACATACCTGCAAGTCCAGTAACAAATCTGTTTCTTTTCCTGTTTATTTACTCCTTAGAATTCTGGCATTTTCTCCTTCTGTCATTATCTCTGTCAAAGTCTACATAGATGGAGTTCACCTGGGGAATGCACATCATGTGTCTGGCCCTCTCTATGTGCTGAAGTGGAGTCCACAAAACTACAGTGAAGGGTTCCATCACATAGAAGCGACTGTCCAGGTAAGGTACCTGTTGGCATTCTTTGTATTATTTTTTTTCTTATGGCTTCTCTATCACCCTCCTGCTTCACATAACTAGGAACAAAATACATGATAACAGACTTACTTTCATATTTCTCTGATTACAAAACTCAAAGGATTTAATAAAGAAATAAACATTGAGTGCTAAGCACCAAAATATTAATAAAGCTTCTGGGATAAAGAAAGAAATATTTTTTTCATAAGAAGTAAAATAAGACATGACAGAAGTGCGAACTTGCATTTAAATTGGCCAGAGATGTAAAAAATTACAAGAAAGGGTTCTAAAGGTATTTAAACAGCAAACAGAAACAGAAGGAAATTACTAGCCAAGTGTTAAACAGCAGAGGTGAATTAGTCACCAACAGCTCTGAAAAGGCAAAGGTTCTCAACAGTTTCTTCACCTCTGTGTTGGGCCTTGGGAGCAAGGATCAAGCTTGATGCAGAGACCCACTGTCAATGAAAGAAGAGTTGGAGTAAGACCTGGCAAAGGAGCTTGATCCTACAGATCAAGGAGTCCTGACAGTTTCCACTCCAGAGTATTAAGAGACTTGGTTGACATCTTTGTGAAGCCACTCTCCATAGTCTTGGAGAAGTTGTGGAGATCAGGGGGCATACCCAAAGATGGGCAGAAGGCTAATGACTCTCCTGTCTACAAGGGCTTAAGGGAGGATCCAGGAAATTATAGGCCCATCAGTCTTACTTCAGTCCCTGGGAAAATTAGGAAACAAATCCATCCTTGTTGGGGGCTTTCTCAGGTCAGATGAAATACGTGACTGGGAAGAGCCAGCACAGATTAATCAAGGGCAAATTGTGGGCCAAGAAGAACATCATGAAGTTCATAAAGGAAAATTGTAAGGACTTGCACCCAGAAAACATAATCCAGGAGTACAGCACAGGCTGTGATTTGCCTGGCTGGGGAGCAGCTCTGTGAAAAGGGACCTCAGTGTCCTGGTGGAGCACAAGCCCAGTGTGAATGAACAGTGTACTGGTGCAGCAGAGAAAATCTACTGCATCCTGGGGTACATCCACAAGAGCATCACCAGCCGAGTCACTATCCTGCTCTACAGAGTGCTTGCCAGGCCACACCTGGAACACTGTGTTCAACACTGCACTATGTTAAATAAATAATAAACAAGTATTTGTTTATCTATATGGGTTTTTGGCAATACACCAGAAATTAAGCACAACAAAATATGAAAATATTTTAATACAGGCTATTACCTAGACTTGAACTTCCAGAAGACAACTGGGACGTGGGGTGGGGGGTGGGGGCAATTAACAGTCACAGTCTTCCATAAGTTGCTGAATCTCTGACAGGCTCTTATCCATATGTAGTACTTTCAGATTATGATTTTATAATCACCAATTTACTTGAAATTGCAGAATTGACTGTAAGTAATGCTTTGTAGGTAGAATTTAATACAGCAGTATGCCAGAAAAGCATACATCAATCGTATCTTTCTGGAAAAGCTGCAGTGATAATTAGGAACTTTAACTAGACAGTTTTTTGTACCACTGCTATGTAATTCCTCTCATTTTATATCAATTTAGGATGCTTCAGGAAGAATTGGCACACGGGGCCATTTATTTGGTATGGAAGAAAACCTCTCTCTTAGATTTGACTTTTGGTCATCTCTTATTCTTCTCACTGACCACTATGTTCTGGTAAGTACTTTCAGCAAAACAGCTATTATTCCATTTTGGTTTCCCAAGCTGCAGTAGGCATTTTTGTAATTCCTGAAGAAATTCATAGACTTGAATGCAGTTTACTTTTTCCAGATGTGAATTCTCTTTTGGAATTGCAAAACATTTGAAGTTTCTCAAGTTGCACACATAAACCATAAATGTGCAACAATGGTTTATATAAACAGCTGGGACTGGATTTAGTCCCAATTATCCATTTTCGGGCATAAGTATACACACATTTTGTGCAAGCAAGGAATTGAAAAAGAGCTACTGGAGATAGTAGAAAAAGGAAACATTAAACCAAAGAGAAATTCACTCTGAACTGTTGAAATATGTTTTCTGGAAAGAATGCTGCAAATATTCTCATTGTCAGCTGCTGACATCATAACCAGCTCCAGAGAAGTGGAAGGCAAAATCCCCATCGACTTTTAGTCATATGTGTTACAGCTCAGTACATGCAAAGAAGAATGTCATGTCTTAATAGTCTAGGCGCACTTCTAGAACTACGTAAGAAAGTCCACATGACTGTAGTTCTTATCATAATTGGCTCAACGTTACTATCTTTGTTTTGTTAAATCAGTCACACATTCTACACCATGTCTTGAACTGCATTTCTCCTCAGCTCAGACAGTGTTTTGCCTTGGAAGTGTAACTGCACTTTTTCAATGGATGTGTTTACAAACCCTTTTTTAAAAATATTCGGCTCTATTGCTTTTAGACATCGAGCAGAATTCAAGTCAGTACAATACAAATCCTAGAACTTAGAAATTCTTTAAGTTTCCTTTTTACTCTTCAGTTCAGTGACACCAACAAGCTTTGACTGTGTTTCAAATAGAATCTTTGTACCATTCTATCAGTGCCCATAAAGCATGCTCCAAGGCTGCAATTATTCCAGGGCTGGCTTACAGTCAAAACTGTCTTTTCAGGCTCGAGTGCTCTTTGGATTGATTGTGCTGATTCAGATTACCTTGCTTGTTGTTTTCCGACACCTCCAAAAGCCAGCACTCAAAGGTATCAACTAATGTTTACCTGTGGTTTTTAGTAGATCTGTTTTCCCCCAAATGTTTTATTCTTGACCTGTGTGCTAACAATATGTAAGTAACTGTGCTGTTAATCACCATATGCATTTTACATCTGCTACTGTGGGATTTGATTGGTTTCTCAGAAGCTGCTATCTCGCTTTTAAGGGAAGCTGGAAAACCTCCAATATATCAAATAAAGTAAACTAGAAACTTGAGCAGGTATCTTTATCTAAACAAAAATTAAGTTGATTGAAGTCCAAAGTTTCATTTTAATTTTCTCACTGAAGAATCCAGTACCTAGGGAAAGGAATGTTTTGTTTTGTATTTTCTATATGTGTGCTTGTTTCAATATAGTTGTCGCAGAATTCTCTCTTGCCTGAGTGGAGAAACAGATTTCCTTTTGCAAAGACAGTGTTTGTTAACTTTTGCAAAGAACATGAACAGGATTGGGTCTTTCTCAAAATAATATTAAGGCCATTTCTGTCATAACTTGATACTTTGTGATACATCTAGTAAATGAAAATTATTACTATAAGCTCATGGTGTTTATCCTTTAAACAATCATTTGAACCACACCCTACTAATGAGATTTTTCTGGAAGCCACCTCCCTTCCTATTCATGTCAGTGTTTGTCCCTTCCTTATTACTTCTAATTGTGTGGCATCCTGAAGTAGCTACAGCAACTGCTTACATAGAAGAGAATCAGATTTTCAGTTGCCTTTATGGAACTCAGCAGCTACACATTAAAAAAACTGACTCTGTGGTAAGCTAGGTCCATGTGGACTATGACAAATGTTTTAAAAGACAACTTAGTGAACAAATCTGTTAGAGCTGTTGATTTACAAAGATGAAGCTTGCCCTCTGGGGGTTAATTCTTTGTGAGAAGGCCACGTAATAGGTCTAAGTCTACAAGCCAACTTTTTAGGAAGGCTCTCTTGATCTGTGAATTGTCTGCTTCAGAGAGCTATTACTTCTTTTTTCTACTAGCACCACACACTTGTCAGAATAATGTCATTTTAATGCCTAGCCTTAATTTTGAGTTGCTATCAGATCTCACTAAAGTAGATTTAATCAAAGGAAATCCACCTAATCTAGTCCATGCTGACCTACCTTTCTGGGTTTGCAAAGTTACTGTTTTGTTGCTCTTACTTTTAATTTAATACATACTTTCTCCATGTCTTTCATTCTAGCTAACTTCATTTTCTGGGTATAGAATGGTCATTCAGTATTATTTACATACAGTAAGTGTATTCCTTTAGAATGGCAGGTTCCTCTGCTGTTTTTAATATAGACTGTTATATATTTATTGGTTCTTTATTTTCAGTTATCACAGTAATAGTAATGCATTCTTCTGTAGACATACCAAATATTATTTTTATATTCCTTATTTAAAAGAATGAGTAAATTGTGTGCCGGTTTGTTTCAGAAAGACCAGTATTATACATACATATATATTTGGGGAGGTGTTGCAAACTGAATTAAATGTATTTTTCTTAAATGTTGTCTCTGTTTAGGAAAGCCGGGATTATTTACTCTGACTTCATATTCTCTTCATATCTTCAGTAAAACAAACACCTTCTATTACTCAATTCTGGTTCTGAATTTATACACCATTCTGGGTAAGTAGCCTAGAGTACTGGAGGACATAAATTGGTATTTTGAAATTACACATTAGATCCTGATGAAAAATAAGAATTCTAACATCTTGGAGAATGGGGAAAATCTACTTAAGTTACAAAATCTATGTGGAACTTCAAAAATTATTGTCCAAAGAGACTAAAGGTTTATTTGTAAGAGCCTAACTTAGAAGCCCTGAATTAATGAAACACTTAGCTTGTTAAATTACTCTGAAAGTGAAGTGAGTATTTTTAAATTCAGTTTTTCACTTATTTTTTGATTGTTCACATCAGAGCTAACAATCTGAGCTTGTTCTCCGCTGATAACATCTTACTGAAATAGCTATTTTCTTGTTAGTCAGTGTAGTATGCATAACACAGAGCAGTCTGCCTATTTTAATTTCTATGCTGAGCCAGGCTGGAATTGTTTGTGACCACATTTTTCATATATCTTACTGTAATTCTGGGAAAAAAACTATCCTTTTCACCTATCTCATAGGGAAGATATTATATGTGGTGTTGAAAATTGTCACAGAGATGAAACTAATTCAAAAGTATTTTCATTGCATGCCACAAGCCCCCATCGTACTGTGGCATTTTCACACCAGACTGCTGTTTGCCGAATATAAAAACATGAGGCTGATTACTCTGGACATGCAATAGGGAAGTCTCAGGGTACAAAGGGTTGTGTGGGAAAGGGCTGTGTCTCTGTTGTGTTTCCTGATGATGATGTTTGATTTCCTGTCTTGCAGGACCATGGTTTGTAGGTGAACTGATAGATGGCCAGATGGGGGCCTGTTTTTCCTTTGGGGTGTTTGTTGGTGGTTCCTTCTTACAGGGCAGTATGACATTTGTGGTTGGGATTTTACAGGTGAGTATAAAATAAAGGCTAAAAACCAGCTTTTTTTTCAGGGGCTTTTTTCAATTTTTTAATAGTTTTATAAAGAAAGGAGTCTTGGAATTAGAGAGATTAGTGACCATGCCTGACTACAAGTGGTCTTTCTTACCTTCCTGCAGATTTAAAGAAAGGAAGGAGGTTGTGCATTATTTTCACAAACTTCTCTTTTTCTCTAAAAAAAGATGTTGCTTTGGACTCCCTGGATATTTAGATTAGAGGCTGTCTCTACAGATTTACAACTCTAAATTTTCCGTAAATTTTCTAGTTTTGCCTTTGGCTAACACAGAGTGATTAAACAAAAAAACTGAGTGGACAGGGCAGCCCTTGCAGCCTTAATAACCCTTCAGATCAGTAGGTGTCACTCTCTAAGCACACATGAGTCCAGTTTTCCCAAGAGTGGTTTCCCCGTTAGTCTGAAAGACAAGGTGTCATTCCTTGGCATTTAAGATAGTGGACCAAACCAGCATTGCCTCCTTCTTCATGGTGTCTCCCTTGTACCAGTGGGACTCTGCTGGAGTGGGCTGGGTCAGAGTTAAGCTGACATACAGACCATTTGGTTTTGCCATGCTAATTTTTGGTAAGTCTGTCTCCCTGAATCAGTTAGAGGAAATGTCAAATGCGTGTTAGTGCCTCTTACTGCAAGGGAATGGGCAGGAATGCTTGGCCTGGGACTCAGGCCAAGTGCCTTTATCAGCTGCAGAGTCGTGGAGATAAATCCTGAGATTCTATCTCTGGGAAGTGTACTCAGCCCTTAGAATGGGACAGCTTTATGTGTGCATATGTTTTTAAGCCTTCATAGATGTTACCCAGAACCTTTGCTTGCTCATTGTCTTATTTTTCTTTTCTCTTCCTTTCAGATGATGTTTTTCAACCTGCCATTGATGGCCTACCTGTGCTGGTGCCTGCTGCTGCGATGTCAGGGCCACAGCTTCCTTTCCCACATCCGTCACGTCCGACGCCTCGTGGCTGTGCTGGTTCACCTGGCAATGACCCTGCTCCTGGCCTGGCAGGTCTATTCCTGCTATTTCCTGCAGCGAACATATGGCACCTTGGCGTTCTTCCTCTCCCCAATGAGAACATGGTTGGTGGTACTGACCGCAGCTCTCATTTATAAAACCTGGACACTGAAATCATCAGAGCTCAGAACTTACATAATAGAGATAAAAAACTGCCAAAGCTCTTGAAGTATAAGTACTCCAAGTTCTGTCTTAAAAACTGTCAAGATACAACCTTATCATTTTGTGATGCTGGAATTCCATACACTCCACCATTAGGTGGTAGGACCCAAAGCTGCACCTGCACTGCTACAGAACTGTATTAAATAGTAAATGAACAATATGTTATACACACTTTCCTTGTATTATACAACATACTGTATAAAACATGTTATATAATACAGTCATGCATTATACATCAATACAGTAAACTGTGGAATAATCTCATCAGTGGGTTTTTTTAGTGATACAGAGATAGATATGTCCATATGGCTCACAAATGGAAATGTTTGTCTATTACTACTGTGAATAGAAAAATACTTTTAACTAATTATTGATTTTTTTATAATGCTGCAAAATATGAGCATAGGACTTGATGAGCTTCTTGATTTGTGCTTAATTTGAATTTTATTTCAGGGTTGACATGTGTTTTTACAAGACTAGACCAGATGTCTTTATGAAGTAATGGTGATTGCAAAGGCGTTGTAGTGGCCTTCACAGTCAGAGTCCTATGCCCATACATGTTTTCAGTTCATAATGCTGTATACAAGATTATAGGCTGTACGGTGTGCATATGTTTTTATGTTCATGTTTACCTGAGCTGTGGCCTATAGATCTTGCCCTGGGAGTGCTGGCTAATTAACAGGCTCACTCTCTGGAAGTGAGCTCCTTCTCTGGAAGGAAGGAGTTTCATTTCCCACTACTGAGGCTGCCAGTCCTCTCACCCATGACTGGTGAAAGAACAGTGAATTATCAGCAGTGCTGGGGTTCTCGGCTTCAAAGCAAAGAATGGAGACAATGTCCTCAGGATGGGAGAAGCTGAAGGAATACTATGGTTTGATGCCTATAAAGTCTGTAATTTCTGTTTTATGTGTCTCAGCTGTGTTTCTGGGTCTCAGCCAAATGCACCAAAGAGTGACCTAAGAAAACTAATTTCTTTGTTTTCATTTTTTTCTAAGTCCAAAAATGATAGAACAGTTAGTTACATTAATGAAGAATGTAATGATTGAGAGCTAGGAAAGCTGAAGTGCCTTGATCTGTAAAGAACACTGCATTTCTTCACAAACAACCTGCTGTGAGTGGAATGCTTAAAATACTTTAGGTAATTGTACACTAACTTATCTGTGGCTTCTCAAGAAAAGAGAGGACGAATTTATTTATAGTCCCTTTGGAAAAAAACAGCAGTGACTGTAGTAGAACACAGGAAAATAAATCGGAAGAAAATACTGACTACAACAAGGACTTTTGTTATTTCTAACAGGTGACAGTTTTCCTATTCCTTAATTTCTGTTCTGCAATTATATAGGAAAATAGTTATGTAATACTAATAATAATGTAATTTCTTCAATGTAACAGGGAAAAGAGAGAAAGAGCACCCATTTACATGAGTTAAATACACTGTTAAGAAAATAAAGAATGTAATTCGTTACTACAAAAGTTTGTTTTGCAAAGCTGTTAAAAAATCAGAGACGGCGCAAAATTTATTTGTGAGATACAATACTGAAAAATTGATAATAAAATGCCATTTCACAATTAAAGTACTTTTATGTGATGAGAGTGAAAAAGAAGTTCCCACTGTTAGATATAATGTTACCCAATACTTTTACCCTTAGGTTGGCCTCTCCAATAGTCTCTGATTGACTAAGCCCCACACTGAGCATTCAGGCATGGCTTGTGTGGAGGCTGATTTTTTTTTTTTTTTTTTTTTTAAGAAGAAAGAGGAACTAAAGTTCACTTACCAATCTAGAAAATTCTGGGGGTCCAGAAAAGCTGACACACAACCTCCTTTGGCTTCTTGAAACACCTCTCTGGAGCATTGCAGCACCCTAGCACTGGAGAGGATTCGATGGAGTCCCTGATCAAGGGGTTGGTGCATGCTGGAGACCTGTCCCATCTGATTCGCTGCTGCCAGGACAGCAGGACAATCCGGCTCTGTGGCTGTGTCACCAAAACTCCTGTTCTCCCAGATATGGGTTCTCTCAGCAGCTGTGCAAGAAGCTGATGGACACAGAGTTGAGAGGTGCATTCCCTGTGTGTGCAGAGCAGGTAATGGGGCAGTGGATCCACAGAGCAAGCACATGTGCAGTGCCAGTACTTGCTTTTGTATATCCCAAGCCCTGGAATGACAGCGTTCCCCCCCACCCCGCAGTCATTGGCTATACATTTTTTTGCCTTCATTTAAAGGCACGCTACTCTCTTATTTTGCCATCCATGCTCTAGGGGAAAGTGGCTGATGGGATTATATTTTACTGCGTTAATGACTAAAGATTAGCACAAAAGTCAAGCAAACTTCTTCTTTGGCCTTATCGGGGTGTTGTTCCTGTCTTCTTATTTACTGGATTTATAGAGCCATCCTCCTGCTTTGCACTAATTTTGCAGATTTATGGAGTAATTTTTTTCTCACTTCACTGGAGCCTTGTTTCTTGGCTCCTCCTGGCTGTCTTGCAGCGAATAGGGTCTGTTGCACATACAACACTCTTATTATCACTCTAGCTGAACCAGAGTACAGTAGCAAAACTGAATTTCACTACTTTTTATCTTTCTACTTTGAATCTACACTTCTGGTTGCAAAATTCTGTGTTAGTGTGGCGAAAACATGTCTCATTTCTGCTTCCTTCTGTGCTTTCCTAAAGAGTTCTGAGTTGTCTCACAAAGTATTTTCCTCAGTTTGAAGCTTATTCCAGCTGCTGCTACCATTTCTAGTTATGGGATAATGCCATCTGCCTGTGATCTTCTTTTCTCCCCTGGTAATCTATTTATGGATCATATAAACATTACCTACTCTGAAGAGAAGCCAGTAAAGAGAAGGATAGCATAGCAAAAGAGAAGAGCAATGTTACAAACAGGACTAAGTAATCCAGCATTTTCTTCTCCACAATAAACACATAAAAATATTGAATGAAGAAATTAAGCTATTTGAAAGTCATCTGCCTCAGGTCTCTTCACTTTTGTAACAACAGCTACTATAAACTGCAGTTAGAAACATTTATGTCAGGTGTGGAAAGGTCTTTTCATGGTGCTGGTGACATTTTGCATGAAATCCTGACATTTAACTGTACAGTTTAGCACTAAACACTAATAGGTGCTCTTATGAAAAACACCGTGTTTTTCTCATTGTCAATGAAGAAGCCAAAAACGAGCATAAGAAACAAGAGGAACTAAAAAAAACCAAAAAAAACCAACAACAACAACAACAAAAAAAAAACCCAAACAAACAAACAAAGCAACACTTCAAGGTACAAAGGGAAATGGGATGGAAGTGGGAATGCACAAGAGTAATAAATACAAAGCAGAAGATTGTCTTAACAAAAAAAACCAAAGGTGTCTCTGCCCAATACTGTTTACATTTTATTACCCTTTGCAAATGCTTATTTAGGAAGATTGTAGCTGAACTTCCTTACTGTGTCATGATGTCATATGAAAACAGAAATGCATAAAAGTTCACAAAAAGGCCCTAGCAGCTGTAAGTCGGTTTTGAAACCATAACAATGGGGCTGGAGTAATAGAGCAGTAAAGAGTCCTCAGGAATAGAATGCTATGTGAAAAGGCTCCAGGAATACTATAAATCCTTTTTTAATTAACAACTAATTTTTCGAAGAGTCTCAAGCAGAAACTGTAATAGAATATAAGGTTAAATAATAACTTGATAGCTGATAGAAGGAAAATGTAACTTAGAATTACCTTTGATTACTGTAATACTCAGAGACATTCTCCTCCCCCAGGAAAATTTATCTGTGTAAATGATAATATAAAGAACTGGACCCAGATTTGCACATGTGCATAGGAATTTTGTCATAGGCATCAGTAATGAATCATGAGTGACTATTTGTCAGTGTTTGTATGACCCCTCCCTTGACACCTTTTTGAATAAAAGACTGTACTTGTTTCCGAGAAATTGTGCCAGTGCTCTGTCAGTTACAGGAGTTGCTGTTCCATGTACATGGAAAAATTGTTGGATTATGCTAGAAAGTCAAGATGACCTAAAGAGATCAGTAGAGGAACAAAGAAACAAGGACCTCAGCCAATAGGTTCTAAGAGACCCATCTTAAATCAAGAAGGTAAACAAGATGGTGAACTGCTTTGGCTCAGAAATTGTGTCCTCAGAGAAAACGTAATTCTGAGTAATTCTGGAAGTGTCCATGACCATGGACTCAGGAAACCCACTGACTCAAAAGATGAGCAGTTACACACATGCAGGCTAGTTAGCAAATATGATGCCAGTCAATTATGAGTTAAAATAAATATGTATTAGATAATAGAGAGAGGCAAATGCATGAATTCCAAGTTGGCTTTGTGGAATTACTACCTAGCACCCATCTTGGTGCAAACATGAAATAAATCAAATATCTTGGCTCTGGGCCAGATACTGGCTTTATACTGCAGGTACTGAGCCCTGCTTGAGGAACACCACCAGCTGTGTTGGGAGATAAGAAACAGATGTATGGGTCTGTTTTTGAGAAAAGGAGAACAGCTTGACCTAAAAAACACAGAATGCAATAAAAGGGAAACTAAGACAATGAGATAAAAGGGAAGAGACCGATTATGATGCTGACATCTCAAGAGACAGAAATAATTAACCATTTGCCCAGAGAGTTACAGGGAATCAGGAGGGGGTTATGAAACATGGTCTTACTGTTGTAAAATGTAAAATATGTAAAAATTCTCTTAAGAAAGAAAGATACTTGGTATTTATATGTTTTCAAGCCTAATTAACAAGAAAGAAGATACAATCCACAAAGCAGGTAGCAGCTAACAAGCAAGCTCTAAGTGATGTTCAGGTGTTAAAGAAAAAGTACTTGTCCTCCTTAACATCTAGGGCTTGGCATTGATCTCGGGCATAGTGGGAGGTTAGCAAAGCTTGGAAAGAATGTACTACTGACAGAGGACACAAAGAATGCAGAGTTTATAGACCACAAGGACATCTGGAAAAACTCCCAAGATATGGAAGAAGCTAATAAAGACAACTCAGCAACTGTGCTGAAATTGGCTCTGACTGGATAAAGGTAATTCTGACATGAGGAGATCACAACCACCAACTCAAGAAACTCAGCAACCAAAAAGAAGTGAAAGACTAGGCATGTGGACTAATTACCATGAGAAGCAACCTCCAGAGCATACTGGATTTTTCTTACCAGTTATTTATCACCCTTTGTTAAATGACACCTCTTACAGTACAAAATACATAATAGATGAAGAGCCACACTATTGCAAATATTAAGAAATTAGGAGGACAAGATGAAAAAAAAATAGTAGTTTTTTTAACTGATGGCACTTAATTTAAAGAATCTTCTCATTTTGGCTTTTTATTCTTAAGAGGTGACATGAACCAGGATTCACAAGTAAAGGAATACTTCTGTGAGAATAGTAAACACTGGTGTTATCAGGGTTTACTTGGACTGTCCCTATCTTTTTGTCCTAAAGCCATTTTAACTAATGCTGCTAGAGCCTGTATTGGCCTCCACAGCTTACCTAACTACTGGAATGCTACTGCAATCAAGCTGCCTTTATTATGGTAAGGACTCAGTATCTCAGCATGACCTCACTCTGAATCACCCCTCACATCACAGCTCTTAATAGACTGCTGACTTGTGTGGATTACTAAGCAATTCCTATAAAAATAATAGTGCTGGGAATATTATAATTCTATCATATTTTGTTCCAGTTGTGAAAAATAACTGTCTAGAGGACAATTACTTATGGAAAGTGTGTCAACTCATGGTGCCAGAGATGAGCTCACTCTGGAGTAGCTCTTCAGCAAATATTGTGATATTTACTTCCTCGAGATTTGAATCAAACTGCAGTTTTTTTGCTGTTTATCAGTACCTATAGCTAGGCAGTTATAATTAAGCAATTGCACAGTGAAACATGTATGCATGGCTAATCCTTTGAATTAAGGAAAAGGGAACACAATCCCAAAATAAATGGGCTGTCTGGATGAGAGCCCTTGCGGTGAAGTCAGCAGGACTGAGCAGTAACTGGGGAAAGGTAATCCTGGCAGGGGAGATCAAAACCACTGACCCCCTGACCACCAAGTTAAAACAGATCCCCACATGGAATGGGGGGAAGAAGTGTACATGTGCAATAATTAGCATGAAAAGAAAGAGATATAACTGGCATATAAAGATCTGAGTAGTAATTAATGAGAAAGCTATATCAATTGTAACCAATGAAAACTGATGGCTCTGTTTGCTAAAATGTGCAAATAGTGTAAAATTTTGATGGTGATGAGCCAGACTTTTGTAGGTTGCCCCCTAATTTCCTAGTTTCCACAGAATACAATAAAGAAATAGGAATTCCTCACCTTGGTGCGTGAAGTGGTGTCACACACCAACCAGGTGATAAGCCTGTGCTTGGGACAACACAGGATGTTCTTTTAAACCACACCCATTAAATATTTACAAGTGTAGGTGGCAACTGTCAAAATCATGTCAAGAACACATTACTCATTTTGAGTATATATATGATTGCATTGCTGTGTCCAGTTCAATTTAATTTATTAGCATCCCAAAATCTCTGCTTTCAGTACATACAGAGCAACTTA